GGCATGAGGCACGGTTTACTGAAGGCGGCATCTACAGAAGTATACTCCGATGATACCGAACAAGTGCGTGTGAGCAAGATTTCTACGGCCATTGTCAACCTGTCATATACAGAAAACCTTCACGCGTCACGTGCTCCAGCTCGAGACGCGTAAACCTAATTCTTCCTGTAATCACGTGATGTGTGAACTAGGTCCGAGTGCCAGATATTGTTAAAAGAATGTTGAGAGAAAAAAAAACGTTCATTACGTTGTTAAACTGGTTGAGGATTTTCCCCCACATTCTAAATGTTTGGGATTGTTTCTTGTAGATTTTTTTTTTTTTTTTTTACTTATGTACACTTTACTCGTGTTTTATGCTGAAATTCGTCCTACCTGTTTCTGGCGCCAGTGGGGTGGAAATTATTCGTTACATAGCACACCTGTATTAAGTTACACACAATAAGATTTTAGGGTTAACACATGGCTATCTTCTGTAAATCCATTACTAATTTGTTGCTAGTTGTATTTTGATTTTGATTTGTTTTCCTGTCCTAGTGAATAGGAAGCTCGATTCGTAATCTGCGGGTTCGAATCCTGTCACCGAACATGCTCGCTCTTTCAATCGTGGGGGCGTTATATTGTGAGGCCCAAACCCAATATTCGTTAGTAAAAGAGTACCCCAAGAGTTGCGGGGGGGGGTGATGTTGACTAGCTGCCTTCCCTCTAGCCTAGGGAGTAGTTTTGTGCGAAATTCAACAGACAAATCTTTATTTTTTAGTTATTTCTGGCGTTCTTCTGTCGTCTATTTTGTTTAAAACATTTTGTTATACACACTTAGTTGATGTTGAATATGAAAGACATGATGATAATGATAATCTTAAGCCTAATCTATCCTATACAGAAGAATAGTTGTCGGTAAAAAAAAGTTTGGTTTTGTTATTATTAAGCACAATGCTTCACAATGGGCAATCTCTCGAAACCCGATTACTAGCGTAATAAACCTTCAGACTTACAGCTGAGCCATTGAGGAGCAAAAATAAGATAGGAACAAACTTTACCAAGTGGTTTTGTTTAATTTTTGCGAATCATTCTGCGTTAAGATTCTTGAGTGTACAATTGTTTCATATTTTGAGGGTATATTTTATTTTTATCAGAACACGCTTATTGAAATAAAGCTTTTATCCGCTTAGTTCGATAGGGTTCTTTGTGTCAGGTTCGTTCTGGTAGGGCCCGGCATGGCCAGGTGGTTAGGGCGCTCGACTCGAAATCTGCGGGTTGCGGGTTCGAATCCCCGTCTCACCAAACATGCTCGCCCTTTCAGCCGTGGGGGCGCTATAGCGTGACGGTCAATCCCACTATTCGTTGGTAAAAGAGTAGCCCAAGAGTTGGCGGTGGGTGGTGATGACTAGCTGCCTTCCCTCTAGTCTTACACTGCTAAATTAGGGACGGCTAGCGCAGATAGATCTCGTGTAGCTTTGCGCGAAATTCAAAACAAACGAACAAAAAAATCGTTCTGGTATTTCATCAAATGAAATAAATAAAAACAAAATCTGGGGTAATAAAGAAAGCTGATCTTGATGATCAATACATAAGGGATCACATCGTGTTTATAGATAAATCATACAATTTCACAAAAGTTTTTTCTACTGACTCGTGTGGTTGAACGGCCACACGTTAGACGTCCATGTTTCTGTGGTAGTATCATTTTTGTTTGGTAATTTCTTGGTGGGATTCGAACTGAAAGACCTCTCAGGCACTAAGCAAGTGCGATATAAAGGGTTCTTGTTCGTAACGCATTTTTAACAACTCAGACTGCCACATTCGGAATCAAATTTTCTTGTAATACCACGTGGAACATTTTACCTCTGGTAGTTTGTAGCACCACGTGGAACGTGTTACCTCTGGTACCCTACAGTACCACGTGGAACATGTTACCTCTGGTAGTTTGTAGCACCACGTGGAACGTGTTACCTCTGGTACACTGCAGTACCACGTGGAACATGTTACCTCTGGTAGCTTGTAGCACTACGTGGAACTTGTTACCTCTGGTAGCTTGTAGCACTACGTGGAACATGTTACTTCTACCATATAAGTTCCATCAATAATTTAAGTGTCTACCAATTAAACTAATTTAAGGGATAACTACCAAGTAAACTAATTTAAGGGTTAACATTCAAGCAAACTAATTTCAGGGTTAACTATCAAGCAAACTAGTTTAAGGGTTAACTATTAAGCAAGCTATTTTAAGGGCTAACTACCCAGTAAACTAGTTTCAGGGTTAACTACAAAGGAAATTAATTTCAGAGCTAACTATCAAGCAAGCCTATTTAAGGGTTAACTACCAAGCAAGCTTATTTAACAAGAGGTACAAAGGACCCAAATTACCGCTCATTCTTAGAATTTAATTCCTTTGTTTTCATACCAGCTTGGAACACTGCTGCGAATAACAAATTCAAGAAATGACCCATGAAAATAAAGCTTGTTTATACATGTGTATGGCGTAAAGAGTTCGATTTGAACTACAGTCATTTTTCTACAGCCAAGTAATGTAATGGTTAAGTCGTAAGGCTCCGGTTTTCCCACAACCTGAATTCGAACAGGAGTAGATCTTGTATGCAAGCACACGCTATAGTGGCTCTATCTTTAACAGGAATAAGGAATCGAATTGCAATTCCAAATTCCTTTTCCTAGGTGGTTCAAACGCGTAAATCATGCGTGAGGTGTTTTCTAAATATCTCGCTCTCATTTCAAAAAGGGGAAAGAAGTAGCTGTAATGTTGAAAAATGTTTGAGAATGACACCACTTAGGGAAACCCAATCTCTGTAAAGGATCTGGTTAGTTGTCCGTTTATTTCAAAGAGACTTGAAATTTTTCGTTATGAATGGTTTATGAGCACGTGAGCTAAACGGCCTTGTCAGAAGTGTTGTAATATTCAAGCATAGCTGTCCTTAATATTGAAATAATGACAAGAGGTAAGGCACTCAGCTGTACTAGCCGCCAAAAGTGCTTTGTCAACCGAATAACGAAATTTTTTGGCACTTTTATATCGCTTCTACAGCTGGTTGTTCGGCGCAATACGTCTCGATTCGCGGACCCTTCGATCCATAACCGAAAGAGAATAAGCATGATGTTTGAACAAGTCTTAGAATGATAAGCGCTTTAGTTGGCGGTGTATTATATTTAGTAATAATATGTATGTGTGATATGCATGGGCTTCCACAGAGGGGCAAATTTTTTCGGGGGGGGGGGCAAAGTAGTGTGAAATTGTGAATGTAATAAAAAATTCATATATATATGCTGAATGAAAATGAAAAAGAATTATGTTTCTCATTTTTTTCCAGGGGGGAAAGTGCCCACTCTTGCCCCCACCCCCTGCGGACGCCAATGGTGATATGAGATAACGGTTTAAGCCACACTTTCCTTTGCTGACTAAATATAAGCTTAAACTACAATCCGCTTTGTTATGACACAATATCATACACGTATTACTAATAGCCTATTTTAACATATTATAACACCATTATTAGATAGTTTATTTTATACGGCTGGGTGTGACCAAGTGGTTAGAGCGTTGGGCTATAAATCCAATGGCCCGCGGTTTGTGTCCCGTAACCGTAAGAACTCGTTAGTTCACGACGTTAGTACATAACTGGCTGTAAGAATCTGTTGTAAACAACTAAACTGTAAAACAGTTTGTTGTAACTGAACTGTACAAATTATGTGTTGTAAATGATTGATGTAATAATACTATGTTGTAAATAAGTGACATAAGATTACTCTGTTGTAAATAATCAATGTAAGGATACTTTTTAAGTAATATAATGTAAGAATCCTCTATTTTAAATAACTGGTGTAAGAAACGTATCTCAAATAATTAAAAGTAAGAATACAATGCTGTAAAAATAACGTCCAAATTATGATTCCTGTCTTTCTCTGTATCTGTTTAGTTATATAGTTTACTTTGTATAATAATGTTTATGGTTAAAGTATCAATCTAACAGAAAATTTTCACAACTTAGCAGGACAAGTAACTGATATGAAATAAAACTGTTATTTTATCTAAGATGTTATTTCTAATACCGAACACCATAGAAACCATTTACGTGAATGTAAATGTTGCAAACCAGCCAATAACTTCGTTTTAAGTTATGATATGATATCACATATTTATAGACACATATTCGTATTGTAGATGATGTAACATTATACTGTCAAAACCAATAGAAGTTGTAGATGATCAAACATATAAACTATCAAAACCAATAGAAGTTGTAGATGATCAAACATATAAACTATCAAAACCAATAGAAGTTGTAGATGATCAAACATATAAACTATCAAAACCAATAGAAGTTGTAGATGATCAAACATATAAACTATCAAAACCAATAGAAGTTGTAGATGATCAAACATATAAACTATCAAAACCAATACATGTTGTAAATGATCCAACATATAAGTATCAAAACTAATAGAAGTTGTATATGATTCAACACATAAACTATTAAAACATAGAAGTTGTAGATGATCAAACATATAAACTATCAAAACTAATAGAAGTTGTTGATGATCCAACATATAAGTATCAAAACTAATACAAGTTGTAAATGATCCAACATATAAACTATTAAAACTAATAGAAGTTGTAGATGATCCAACATAAAACTATCAAACTAATAGAAGTTGTAAATGATCCAACACATAAACTATTAAAACTAATAGAAGTTGTAGATGATCAAACATATAAACTAATCAAAACTATCAAGACTAATACAAGTTGTAAATGATCCGACATATATACTATTAAAACTAATAGAAGTTGTAAATGATCCAACACATAAACTATTAAAACTAATAGAAGTTGTTGATGATCCAACATAAGTTTGAATTAATGTTGAAGTTTGTATTCCTCGAGCTTTATGAATTGGCCACACATAATAACTGTGTCCTGACGAATTTTAGTCATTGGAAACCTTGATTGAATAATACACACCCCAAAAATTAAATCAGTATAGACTCACCAGTCTTCACCAACCAAACCAAGCTGACCAGCCTGTAGATGACCCCGCGGCACATGTCCACTGAGTGTCCTGAATGAAATCACCAGCCGTGGTCTAAGTGCTTCTCGAGAAAGTTGTTTTTTGTTTGAAGACACGCTGGTCTGAACGACGAGTTTCTTTATACACTACCTTTGTTGTCCGACTCTGTGACTCAGTCTACTGTAGAAACAAGCTAGAACCTGCAGGGAAAAGTAAAAGCATGTCAGACGGACGGTTGTTGTAGAAAGCCGGCACTAGTAGAGGAACAAGGGAACCGGATGAACACGTGTGTGTCTGAACGTGCCAGAAAGAATACTGAGCAAGTTTACCTGCTTCAGTCTAACCCTACTACCGACTGTCAGCCCGCCCGCATAGAGCGCTGCTCAGTCGAACATTTTTACACAATTGCTCGTTCCCATACATCGCTTGCGTCAAAACCACCACGTACAAGCGTACCTCTGGGTTGGGAATTGCATTATATGAAAAACATGATAGTATCTATGTACATGGATACGTCCTGGTACCTTTCTAAAACAGATACATATATCTATGAGCATGGAAACGTCCTAGTACCTTTCTAAAACAGATATAGGTAACTGTGTACATGGAAACGTCCTGGTACCTTTCTAAAAGAGATATTTGTAGCTGTGTGCATGGAAACGTCCTGATATCTTTTTAAAACAGATATTTGTAACTATGTACATGGAAACGTCCTGGTACCTTTCTAAAACAGATACATGTATCTGTGAGCATGGAAACGTCCTGGTACCTTTCTAAAACAGATATATGTAACTATGTACATGGAAATGTCCTGGTACCTTTCTAAAACCGATTATGTAACTTTATATGTGGAAACGTTCTGGTACCTTTCAAAAACAGATATAGGTAACTATGTACATGGAAACGTTCTGGTATCTTTCTAAAACAGATATCTGTAATTATGTACATGGAAACGTCCTGGTGCCTTTCTAAAACAGATACATGTATCTGTGAGCATGGAAACGTCCTAGTACCTTTCTAAAACAGATATTTGTAACTATATACATGGAAACGTCCTGGTACCTTTCTAAAACAGATACATGTATCTGTGAGCATGGAAACGTCCTGGTACCTTTCTAAAACAGATATTTGTAACTATGTACATAGAAACGTCCTGGTAGCTTTATAAAACAGATGTATGTAACTTTATACATGGGTAACGTCCTGGTAGCTTTCTAAAACAAATATAGGTAACTATGTACATGGAAACGTTCTTGTAACTTTCTAAAACAGATATTTGTAACTATGTACATGGAAACGTCCTGGTACCTTTCTAAAACAGATATAGGTAACTGTGTACATGGAAACGTCTTGATACTGTTACGTCTCCGTTTGTTAATTAACTTTCCGTAACTTCGTTCCGACAAAACTTTAGCGACACAAGTTCTTTACTTAATAAAACTGGTTTATTCTTTCCGAATACAACTTTACCGATACACTCAACTTCAACAATCGCGCTAAACAAACGCTATAACAACGAACGTGCTCAATAATACTTCTGACTGCAGATCAATTACTCACTATCTATACACACATTACCTTCTATCTCGCGTCACGTTGTCCCCTCTTATATATACCAAACTACCCTATATCTAGCAAATACTAGAGCATTCGCCAAGATACGGGATAGTTCTAGAAACGTGGCGTCACTGTAGTCATGTGATCTCGATGACGCAACAATACCTTTCTAAAGCAGAGATATGTAGCTTTGTACATGGAAACGTCATGGCAGCTTTCTAAAACACATGTATGTAACTTTATACATGGAAACGTCCTGGTACCTTTCTAAAACAGATATTTGTAACTGCGTACATAGAAATGTCCTGGTACCTTTCTAAAACAGATATTTGCAACTGTGTGCATGGAAACGTCCTGATACCTTTCTAAAACAGATATTTGTAACTATGCACATGGAAACGTCCTGGTACCTTTCTAAAACAGATATTTGTAACTATGTACATGGAAACGTCCTGGTACCTTTCAAAAACAGATAATTGTAACTGTGTGCATGGAAACGTACTGGTACCTTTCTAAAACAGATATTTGTAATTATGTACATGGAAACGTTCTGGTACCTTTCTAAAACAGATACATATATCTGTGAGCATGGAAACGTCCTAGCACCTTTCTAAAACAGATACAGGTAACCGTGTACATGGAAACGTGCTGGTACCTTTCTCAAACAGATGTATGTAACTTTATACATGGAAACGTCCTGGTACCTTTCTAAAACAGATATTGGTAACTGTGTAAATGGAAACGTTCTGGTACCTTTCTAAAACAGATGTATTGTTGCGTCAGCGAGTCACATGACTACTGTGACGCCACGTTGCTAGAACTATCCTGTACTTTGGCGAATGCTCTAGTATTTACTAGATATAGGGTAGTCGGGTATATAAAAGAGGGTGACAACGTGACAGAATGATGTAATGTAATGTGTGAGTAGATAGTGAGTAATTGAACTGCAGTCTGAAGTATTGTTGACGTTGATATAGCGTTTGTTATAGAGCGATTGTTGAAAATAAGTGTATCGTAAAGTTATATTCGGAAAGAATAAACCAGTTTTATTAAGTAAGGACTTGTGTCGTTAAAGTTTCGTCGGAACGAATTTACGGAAAGTTAATTAACAAACGGAGACGTAACAGTATGTAATTTTGTACATGGAAACGTCCTGGTACCTTTCTGAAACAGATACAGGTAACTGTGTACATGGAAACGTCTTGATACCTTTCTAAATCAGAGATATGTAATTTTGTACATGGAAACGTCCTGGTAGCTTTTTAAAACAGTTGTATGTAACTTTGTACATAGAAACGTCCTAATAACTTCCTGAAACTGCAATACGCACAACTGTGTACATGAGAATTTGTAGTGTGATAAGTAAAGAAATCGACATTAAGCTTTGTTAACACCGAATGAAATCTTCAACATCTATATTATCTCACCTGTAGACATCAATTTTAAACCATCCTTCTTTCGACAGCTTCTCCAATGAACGTTTAAGCAAATCATAAAGAGAAATGTCCATTGAAGCTGCATTCGGAGATTTAAAAGGCACGCAGTCGAATGAGATGTGTGTGTGTGATTTCACTTTCTTGGCAGTCGTTCTCATGAAAATAACAGCCGATTTCGAAGTGAATATTGAAGCTTGTAAGCTTTGTCACATTATTTACAACACCTGGAGATATGCTCAGCTTCATTGTAATGGCTTTTAGGATCAAAATGTTCATTTTCTTAATTAATTAAAGTTTTCACTTCGAAGACAAGGGCGTTGCTCAGCTTTGGACTGGAGTGTGACTTTGGAGCTCTACATACCTTTAACGGTCTAGCTATATGGACTTAAAATAGGTCTGTGACGTAGTTGCACAGTGCGAGTTTGCTCCGTAGCGCCATTACGTGTTGTCGCGAGCCGGGCTCGTACCTTTGACGACACAGATAAATTGTTCTTGGCAAGGTTAACCCTATGTACACTTGTTCGTTTTTGAGATATCGAACAATAACACTTAGGAATTCTACTTTTCGGAAAATAAACCTTAACTTAAACGTATGAATAAAAAACGAGTTTTATCATTTAAGGGTAAACTTAAGCGAATGTTTTATTTGGATATTGAATATTTTTATCTTTAACTTTTTATAAACAAAGTCGATTATTTTATCTTTCTGGTGACACTTGACCTTAACACTAAGTTTGACACAACACAACTGAAAGATTCGTCATGAGAGGAAAAAATGAAATGAAAGCGGAGACTGAAGAAGAAATTATGAACAAAAGGTAGGGACAAAATTATTGAAAAAAAACTGAAACTAAATAGTCTAGAATGACTGAAAACCAGGTTTCATTTGGTTAAAGCCTAGAATTAACGCTTCCTGTAACCTAATTAGCACCAAATTACTCGTGGATCCAAGTCTTTTATGGTTACAGGTTCTTGAATAACGTATACGACACAAAGGAAATATATACAAAAATATCACCAAAACGACAGTTGATCCCTCTACCTATCTATTTCACACAGAAAATGAATGGTTTCACTCTATTTCTTGTTGTAACGGATAAGAATATAACACTATCCAGTATAATGTAACATGTTAACCCTAGCTTAGCGAACGGTATGAAAACAAGTCGGTAATTTGAGGATTGAAGTGACAGTAATAAACGTTTTGGCATTTCCTTCTATCACATCCAGTATAATGTAACATGTTAACCCTAGCTTAGCGAACGGTATGAAAACAAGTCGGTAATTTGAGGATTGAAGTGACAGTAATAAACGTTTTGGCATTTCCTTCTATCACATCCAGTACAATTATTCACAACTCGTTCAGGTTACAAGAGGTTAAAGGATTGTCGTGAACCCTTCAGTCTTACCCCCCCCCCCCTTTCTATAATAAAAGTTCTTTTCCGGAATGTGACGTCTCTAGAAATCCACTTGGTGCAAATATAAAACTAAACTAGTAGAACACATGGTTACACAGTGTAAATAACCATGGGCTTGCTTTTCGTACACACACTTATTAATTAACAACTACCAGAAAGACTAGTAACCGTGGGCTGTGTTTTAACGTGTCAAGAATAAACCAAAACACGTTTAACAAGCTAGGAACAACGACGCAATTCATACTTTACTTGTGACGTCACAACGGAGAGGCTAATAAGTAAATGTCAAAATGCATTTACCGAAATTTTCAAGTGAAATAAACAAGTATATTATTTTTTCATAAAAAACAAGAACAACGGAAAACACTAATTAGCGAAGAAGCGTTTTAATTTTGTTGTTGTTGTTGTTGAATTTCGCCCAAAGTACTCGAGGGCTACCTGCGCTGGCCGTTCCTAATTTTGAAGTGATAGACTAGAGAGAAGGCAACACCATCCACCGCCAATTCTGGGACTGTTTTTTACCAACGAATAGTGGAACTGACCGTTATATAATAACGCTCCCAAGGCTGAATGGCGAGCATGTTCGGTGACATCATTCGATCCCGCGACCCGCAAACTACGAGTCGTGTGCCCCAACAACTGGGGAATGCCAGGCTTCAAGTATTTTGAAACTTGGCATAAAAGATATTTCACTTTGCAATCTTACTTCTTTAAACACACGTTAACAAAGTGAAGGGAAAACACTTTCAAAAT